AGGAGGGAGGGGAAGGGGGAGGGGGGGAGACTCCGTACCGGTATCACCCGGTGTGGCGGTGAGCTGCGGCTGATTAATTAATGCGAGTACAGTGCTCGCTTAGTGGCAGCGCTGTCGTCGTGTATCTAGCGAGCGAGCACCTCTCCCGAACACCACCACTACCCTCCCCCTACTCGCTACCTTCTCACTCGCGGAGCGCCGCCCCCGCGACGGGCGGGGAGTGCGTTCTGTTGATTCTGCATCAATTCGCTTGTTTACAAAGTCGCGTTAATGAATAAAAATAAAATAAACTATATGTAAGTAAAGGAGAACAGAACGACATTATTTGGCGGCAGCTGATAGAGTGAACAACAACAAAAAATCAAAGAATAAAACGAAGTGACAGGCCTTACTACAGAGAGAATCGCGTGATGCCTCGACATATTTGTAATAACGATTATTGTGTCGAGTCGGGGCGCCGCGGCATCCGATAAGAAGACATGGTTGCTACAAGAATAGAAAAGAGTGAAATTCCCTCGACATTTCCCTGACTTTCCCCTGAATTTCCCTGACAACAAGATTAGCAGAGTCGGGAGGGACTTTTGCGAACACCTCGCCGAGTATACCCAAAATAACGCTGCCAGCACTTTTTTCCCCTGACTTCCATATAGCAACCCACCAAATATGACAAACTGCCACCGGACGGCCCGGCGGCGGCGGGCAGCGTGAGCGACGCGCAGCTAGCAGGCGTTGCCCACTCACACACCCGTCAAAGTATCGGGCATGACTCATGGCATTTGATGGGCGCCGACAGAACACCTCCTCCTCCTCCTCTCTCCCCGGCGGAGCGACCAGGCCGCCCACCGCGCGGCTGCGGCTATGTTGTTTGTGTTCAGACGGATCCACCGCCAATATAATTGTTTACCACGCGAAGCCCAACGCACCCAGGACAGGACAGGCCCGTGTGTGGCCACCGTGGACACAATGCTGCCGACGGCGGCGCCCGCGAGGGGGAACTAGAGGATCAAGGTCGAGCAAGCGGGAAGTACCATAGCGCGGCGGGGACGCGGCGGCACCTCGCCCGGGCCGAGGCGGGGCGGAGCGGAGCGGGGCGGGGCGGGGGGGGGGCTCATGCTCATAGTGACAGCAGACCGCATGTAAAAGAGTTAAAACACTCGTCGTGGAAAGCGGGCACGACGACAACAGTCGTTGTTGCGTCATGCAGCTGCTCATCGCTCTCACGCGACAACTGCGGCAACCTCTGGTTTTGAATTTGCAACAGCACAGCACATACTTTGCAGGACAGAATCGCGATTTTAAAAAGGAGAATGAAGTTACGACACGTTGCACGTGTTGATTTGTACACCAGCGACGTCCGAACGGCGAGGTCGCGTGGCGGCACCTCCCTGTATAGTTGGTTCACTAAATGTAGACACCATTGAAGGGGAGCCCCATTGTAAGTCCCATTGTAAGCGTCCACCCACATCAGCCTCATTGTAATGGCCACGCTTACAATCGGACTTACAATGGGGCTCCTCTCCAATGGTGTCTTCATTTAGTGAACGAACTATATTTGCGGACACGCTCGGCACGGCGGTCCCCGTGCCGCGAGAGCGAGTGCGAGTGAGAGAGGGGAGGGGGGAATGCCCTGCCGACCGCCCGTCTCTCTCGTACCGCCCCGCGCGGCCAGGTGGCTGTGTGCACCGGCGGCGCCGCCATTCCGGGAGACAGGCGAAGACGCGCTGCTGCTGCTGCCGCTGCCACGGCTTGCGGCTGTGCGGCGCAGCCGCCGGGCGCAGCTGGCAGCTGCGCGGAGGTCGCACCTGGCCACCAGCTGCGGCCGGAACTCAACTGCTCGCTACTGCTGCTGCTGCTTACTCAGGCTCGGGCCGACGGCGACGCAGGCCAGCGCCACCAGGGCGAGCACGGCGAGCAGGCGCATCTTGTGGTGGAAGTCGAGCGCGAGCTTGTGCTGAGCGCGCGCCGCGCGTACGTACACTGCTGCGGTGTCGGCGCGGGCGGCCCGGGCCGGGCGGGAGCGACGGGCGGGCGGGCCAGGCGGGCGCGGGGGGCTCGCGGGCGCGGGGCCCCGGCAAGGCAAGGGAATGAATGAATGAATAAAACCTCAACCACCGCGACTCAGCAGCGCCCAGCCCCAGGCGGCCGCCGGGCCAGCGCGCCCCCCTGACCTGCGCATCCCTCGCCGTCCTGGCCCACGACGGTGACCGCGTCCGCGCAGCGCGCAGTGGCTCTTTCGTCTCCTCCGAACGCCCGCTAGGCTACAGCCCTCAGGTCGCAAGTCACCGCTAAGGATACTCATAGAAGAGGGATATTTTGGAAAATATGGAGAAAAATACAGGCAAAAGTAAATTAAATTGCACTTTTATTGAAATAAGAGCCTCAAGAATACAAAACCACGACCAGCTGACATGACAGCTGGGTCCCGACGAGATCAAAACTTCTCTCTTAAAAAAAAAAAAAAAGGTTTTACAAACTTGAAAAAATGCTCCTAGTAAATGCCACCGGCGTTGAGTTCACAACGTTTACATACTTTGAAAGCAGTGAGCCACACCAAATAAAAATACATCAATATCACAAGGCAACCATGACATAAGTACACCTCATAACTGAGACATGCCCAAGCACAGGATGCAAAATTGTTCTATCAAAATACAACACCGCTCTCCCAATACAACAAATCTCTCACGTCAGAAAAAATATTTAAGATAGAAAAATTACAATACTGAAAGATTTGTTCACAAGGCAGGAAAAGGAACTACTTGGTGCTTTTTAAAGTCTTTTCATGATTGAAGTAATCACACTGATTTTTCTCAAACCCTAGAAACATGAAATTCACTGTTGACTGTTGGTCAAAATGCCCCATAGTCGACACTGACAGTTCTATATTATTATGGAAAATGAAACTAAAAGAACATTAACACACATTAGTATGAAAAGTAAATGCATATGGTGTAAAAAGAAATACCACTGATAATAGGTTTACAATCAAGTACAAAATTCTCTTTTAAAAAATTGGCCAATAGGTGAAAATCAAATTTAATGATGTGGTTTGCGAGTAAATTTTACCAGTCTTGTCAACATGTATGTAATACATGGAATTTGCTTTTGCTGATGCATAGTTGCATTATCTGGAGTATTTGACTCATAGTCAATTGCAACCCTTTGATTCACAAAAGTCAGTATTGTGAGAAGATCTAGCACAAAACCATTATCATTCAACTCTTGACAAAGAGCTTGCATAAACCATGACCCTTTAGATGTATTCCTCCATGAGTAATATCCTGCAGTAAAAAGAAACCATAGATATGTTAATAAGTGTTATACACAAAATGAAATTTCTGTAAAGATTACAAAATCTTACCAGGAATTGTAGAGTATGCAATAAGAAAATCTGAATGAACTGGAATTTTGTAAGAGTGACTACCACTATCAGTCTCTGTAGCCCGCAGCATAGTAACACCTGCATCTAATTTGTCACCTTGACAAGCCTGAAAACAAAAATGTCCTCAAATTAAATGACAAACTGAGATTTAAACCACTTAAAACTTCAACAAAAATCACATACCTGAATGAAAAACATTTTGGGTTTCCCAGCTAGAGTGGGACACTTGTCCGCTGCAAAAGGCGTCCACAGGTTTTCAGGCTTGTAGACTGAATCCCTGGCATACAGGATCCCATGCTCTCCATGCGAGAGCACTGCCACAATGAAACAGTCTCTCGCTTTATGGTTGTCGTCAGCAGCTGTCAAAGGGCGACACAACAACCTCACATTAGACAATCATTTCAATACAATGTCAGTATAAAACAGTAAAAATGATGTTTTCAATCAAATACCTCGGTTAATGATTTCCATGAGTTCAGTATTTGTAAGGTCAGAGTACACATGAACTTCAAAACCAAGGTTTTTCAAGCTATTTTCTAAGTTCTTGCAGTCATGTTCCGTGCCAGAGCGGGGCTTTAGGTTGAGACGAGGCTGTCCAAGAAGAATATAGCACCTTAGTACACAATTTTTAATGATCAAGCCAAGATGGAACAGAGAGAAAAATTAGATTAGATTACCTCAAAACGCTCATGGTTGAAGATCAATGCAAGACCACGCTCTTTGTGGTTCATGTTATAATAAACAGCATTCTTCTCAACAGGCATCTGAGCAGATGATGGTGGTGGTCTCCTTTGAATACTGTCAACAAGATACCTACAAATGTTTAGCCAGAATGATCATGGGGACAGGCAGGTACGTGAGAAGGAAGTAAAGAGAAAAGCAAGAAGAAAAAATTACTTTAGATTCATTTGAGTATGATTTAACAGTTCCAGTGTGAAGAAATAACATCACTCTTCGATGTACCCAAAAGGAAATGCAAGTTGAAAACTAGAACTTACTGCAGCCATGGTGTTGGAGGGTCGACTTGATCACCTCCTCCATTTACCACAGGATCCTCAGAAACACCGTTAGATGCAGTGACTGGTTGTTCGCTGGACGCCATGATCTATCAAGAAGCTGTAGGGAAAACAAAAGGAATATAGATAAACATACACAACAAAGAATGCTTCACTCACATGACATGACAACAGTTTTGTTGTTTAGAGCATAACCTACGAGAGAAAACTAATCTGAATCAAAAAACCTGATGCCATAAAATTTTATAGTATTCTCAGGGATAATAGTAGATAGGTGGTAAAACAAACTAGAAAAACCAGAAAAACCTAGTTGGAACGGCAGCACAAAAGAAACATTCTGAAATCGCAGCGGTACAACAGAAATCAAACGAAGTAGATGGAATCTAAAGAATAACGAAAATGAAGGCAGAGTAAAAGTCGAGATACCTTATCTCACCGCGAAGATATTAATCCACTGATCGGTCTGCACAACTGTTGCGGCCAACCCGGAATGTTATAATGACTCACGAAAAAACATACAATCCAACAACAAACAAAAACACAAACTGGAAACAAATCCACATCGAGTCAAAAGTTTGACGTGCGCAGTGCCAACGCCAGCACAGAAAAACACACCGAAGACCCCAAGAGAACAGATAAAGAGCTAATACTTATTCACAACTTTACAATATCTTTTTACAATTATTATAACTGCAACGAAATTTGGAAACAATCACATGAAACACGTAAAACTTTTAAGTAGATTCTTTCTTTCTCTGTTTCTGTAGGTTGGTTTCGGAAACAGAACTACTGCCCGCGAAGATTTAGAAAATAGAGGAGCAGAAGGAATTTGGTATGGTTCATCAGACGAATGTGCTTAGCAGGTTCACTATGAGGGAAGACCTGTACCCACCCTTCCTTGTCCAAAATTAAAATTCTAATCAACAGGATAATGCGTCGCGAAGACATGAAACCCGGCAGTATCTTGTCATTTGAGATCCCGCTGTCAACCCTCCTCTTCGGCTTCGGTGTCCTCGGCCTCCTGGATCTTTAGGCGTTTGTTGATTGTTTCCGAGAGAATCGTGTTGCCCTTCTGTCTGCTGCTTGCTTCTTCTGGCTGCTGCTGCTGATCTTGCCAGCCCCGAACATGCAACCTTGAACTGTTTTGTTGCTAAAATTCGTATATTTTGCAGGGATTTCGCAACTAAATCGCGATATGTTATTCCACCCACTGTAACTGAGCTATCCGTGCATCAGAATGTGCACAACATTGTTACAAATTTCCGTGGGCTGTGTATTTTTGTCAGACTGATCGCAGCGACCAAACGTTTCAGATAGGGGAAAAATAAGGCGTTTTAGTTTGTTTGCCTGGCTGCAATGTCGCTGTTCAAGTTAAAGACGCCGTTCTTGTGCGGGACGTGTCGGTGGCTCTTTCTCCTGATTGTGGTGCTCGGTGGCGACTTCTTGTTGTGTAATGCTCAACTAAACTTCGTGCGCCAAGCCTCCGCACCAAGTCCTTCTGCCGTCTCAGGCGATCCCTACAGGGGTTCTACCCTGTCTGCCAGTGTGTCTTCCCTGGCGAGAAGCACGAGCGCGCCGTCCTCGTCCTCGGAAGGTTCATCCTCCAACGAGCCTTTCCTTGATGCAAGTGAGTCGGGACCTTATCGAAGGGTGCAAGCTCCTCGAAGGTTAGGACACCCATTGGGACCAAATGGAATGTTGGTTGTCACTGTCAACACTCACGTTAATTAACTGTTAATTAAGAGGATTCGTTTGATTGTATCTTTATTTTTAAGTTTATTTCAATGCCCAATTAAGCTTTGAGTTTTCTGCCCTCTTTTTTGATTAGTTAAATGAGAGACGCATAACTGTCAAAATTGTTTTGATGCTTTGTTCCGTTTCCTTGCCCAGCAAAATTTTGAACTGCTTATCGTCTCAGTGTTTTTTTAGATTTCGAGGCCACTATGCCACTCTTTGTTTTCATTGGTCTCAACTGTTGCCTAATTATGTTTGGCCTTGTCTTTGTAACTGCTAAGATGTTTTGAACAATTCCTTAACACAACTGTAACTTTTGTTTCTTATCCAGGTCATGGGGAAAATTGTAATGAAGACATAGCTTGCCTTACTATTGCTCGTAACGACATGCAAGGTTTAGAGGCCATAAAATCATTGCACCGACAGTTAGATGACGATGCTAATGGAAACGTTGATTTATCTGAGTCTGATGAAGTATGTTAATCTTGAGAACGTATTTAAAGAGTTACAGTTTCTCAAATCCAATTTTAAAAGTACTTTCTAAACTATTTTTTCCTATTTCTAGTTTTTAAGAGAGGAACTAAAATATGAACAAGGTTATGAGAAGAGACAAAAGGCATTCCATCGTAATGATGACATGCACATATCTGTTAGAGAATTGTGGGAAGCATGGCTTCGATCAGAGGTAAGATATTTAGAAACTCGCTCTTCATTCTTTACCGCAACATCAATCATTACTTTTACTTTCTCATTTCTTCCTAGGTACATAACTGGACTGTGGAGCAAACAACAGAGTGGTTGGCATCTAATGTGGAACTTCCACAGTACATTCCAACTTTTATCCACCACAGGGTAACAGGAGCACTACTTCCAAGGTCCTTTTTTATTAATATGATCAAATTGTCTTAATATATGATTATTCCAGATTTTCTAATATATTTCTTTGATGTAGACTTGCTGTAAGCAACATGCAATACCTGACTTCCACCCTGGGGATTAAAGATCCTATTCATAAACAGAAGATTCAGTTAAAGGCCATGGATGTGGTTTTGTTTGGACCACCCAAAGGTAAGCAAGCCATGATGTAGCCTCCTTAAACTAAACTGAGTGCTTTTTCTTCTACTCTAAGTTTTAAAAATGTTTCAACAGATGGCAGTCATCACATTAAAGACTTAGTTTTGGTTACCCTATTAGTGAGTGCGCTTACTGGATGTTGGTATGCATACACCCAAAATAAAAGTTCTAAGCGACATCTTAGACGTATGATGAAAGATATGGAAAGCCTCCATAAAGCTGAGCAGAAATTAGAAAATTTACAGGTGGGCTATTATCTACATTATAAACAAGCAATTACAATTTTTAATCAAATTAAATTTTAAATTTTCTTCCATTTCCAAAAAATTAATGAACATTAGAAAGAGCTGGAACAAGCTAGATTGGATCAAGAGAATGTTGCAACAGAAAAACAGAATCTAGAAAGAAGGCTAGCCCAAGAATGTAACACCTCTGAGCTGCGAACATCATACTCTGACCTTGAAGTGTCTCAACTCAAAACAGAAATCGAGGTAGGTGAATTGATGCAAGAAACAAGCCCCCCCCCCCCCCAAAAAAAAATACCAACCTCTCTTATGAAAGTTTCACTTTAATATTATTACCTGTTGCCTGCTTGTAGACTCTTCGCAATGAGCTGGCAAGAGCTGAAGGTGAACTTCAAGACAGGTGCTGGGCACCACCTCATGGATTACAACAGTGGCTTCAACTAACTCATGAAATAGAAAATAAATCATACATTAAAAAGAAGATTTCAGCAGAGAAACAATTACAACAAGCAAGAGACGCTGTAAGTTTAATAGCATTGTCTGCCTCTCATGATCTCGATAAATCTAATCTGGTATTCAAACAAATGCTTAATACACCTGTTTAAATTTTCTCAGTGTGAAAAATTGAGAAAGAAGCGGTCCAGTCTTGTTGGAGCTTTTGTATCAACTCATGGTCGATCCATTGATGATGTTGACAGAAGTATTGTTGAAGCAAGGTAAATATTTTTTTGTCTTTGCTCTTGGACTTTAACTCATATTATAATCAGAACTAATATTTATAAAATTCTTTATTTATTCTCTGTTTATAAAATTCTATATTGGTTTGATACTTTGTGAGGGTAACTAGAGTTTCATTATTTTTGTTTCATTTAGAACTGCTTTAAATGATGTAACTCAAGAATTGCAAGAGCGAGTACTTAGGTGGAAACAAATTGAATTACTTTGTGGATTTAATATTATCAATAATAGTGGTTTGCAATATTTGGAGAGTGTCCTGTATCGCAGTACATCTAATGGAAGAGGTTTTGGACTACGCAGTAAGTAGAAAAAGAAAACACCAATGTAATAGGTGGGAACTATTTGTTGTCTCTTTTGTGGTTCTATTACAGAAATTTGTAAATTTCGTCCCTTGCGCAGGTCGAATGGGTAGCAGCCAAGATGATTTGGATGATGATACATGTTCACTTTACTCACCATCTTCAGGTAAGACTGCGGGAAATAATACTCCTGACACCGATGATTCTTCTCGTGGTGAAGCATGGGAGTAAATCATCTGAAGTGTGCACATTTTGCAAACAAAAACTGAGTTATGTTGTGTGATTACTGTGTGATTTTTATAAGCAACTCTTTTTAATGTGGTGGTTTTATGACCCTTAATTTTACATCTGTCTTGATCATGTTAATTTCAAGTAGTGTTGCATTGTGTGGGAAGCTTTATTTTATGATAAAAACCTCTTGCAAAGTGAGGTGTTTTGTTTGCAGTTTTGCTACTTTGACTTAAGAGCACTTATTTATTTTGTTTTTGTTCCGTACTTTGTCTCAGCATCCTTTCCTCTCCATGTCAGTTTGCTGTGTATGACAGTGATGGATTTTATTCATAATAAGTCAATTGCACATTACTTTGAAGCTCCTGTCTCTCTTTGCTTCTATGTACCTACTTTCTCACTTTCCTCATTGGTGCTTTGATTTGTTACCACCAAGTAAGGTTGCACCAACCTTTATGTTGGTTTGAATCTTTAAAGTGAATGTAATGATATTGTGTGAGGTAGATATAGAGTAGGAGGTCCACTTTTAGTTTTAAAACTGAAGTCTTAATAGGGAACTACTTAAATGGCTAGTTGAATTGGTAGATGGAACACCTCTGCTCAGAAAGTGTCAGTGTCTTCTTTATTTTTATTTGCAAATTTATTGTATGGGCAAACATGAACGACTAATCCACCTGTTTGTTGGTTGGTTCATTTGTTTAGGAGTCCTCATTCAGTAATCTGTTCTTATTAGATAGTAATTTATTTACAATAGGAACAGAGTAAAGTAAGTTTTGTTTTTTATAGGTTTTGCCAACATGCCTTTAATTTTCTTTTTTTTTATACAAGTGTTATAAACATGAAGTTCCTCCTTGTAGCACATTGAGCATTTTTCATTTGCATTTCCCAGGTTTTGGATTAGTCTTTATCACTGAGCTTTAATGTTTCCATCTTTTAATTTTATGAAAATAGTACATTATTTATTGTAGGATACAGTAAAGCAAAGGGAAAAGAACTGAAATCAGTTGGTTAATGAAGAATGATGACTAGGGATAATTGTTTTAAATGTCTGACTTCCTAATCTGCATGCCTGTTTCTAGTTGTGCATGATAGGGTGCACCAGTATACCTCTAATATTTAATTTTTGTATCATTTTAGCAAATTCATTAAGTTGATCAATTTTTGTCACAAAACAATTTCAGTTTTCCCCTCCCTTTTGTTTTGCTAAGATGCCATTCATATTTCCCGCAAGCATGATGAGCAAAAAGTAAAAGCTTTACATTTTTCAAGATAAAATTAACACAAGTTGTGTTTGTTTTTGTTATCTTTGAATGAGTCAAGGTTAATGCATTATTTGCAGATTGTACTGGTCATTTTTTATGTCATGACTTAAAGGTTAAAGACCTTCAAGATCTTACCTACATCCGGATAGTGGTTAGCCATACCTATTCACATTTGCACTTAAAATTCCAGTTCTATGTGGAATTTCATCTTTTCTAGTTTTCAAGGTGATATATTTTTTATTATTAGATTTTTGCATGCTACATTATTTATTGTTATTACCAGAGATCCCCTGATTTAACTTAAAGGCGAGTGAGGTTTAGAGTCTGAGGCTATAACTGTGGATATCATTGCTCTCCATTTTCTGTACTTTTGTATTCTAGAAAGAGATATTTATCTATCTTTCATATTTGTTCAATATTTATTTTGAATATAGCAGAATGGCAGGTTATACTATTAATGTAAACCTAGTGCATATGTGTTTGCAGAATGAATACCTATTTATAATGTGATTTTAAAAGATATCATGGTACAGGTACCATGGGTACTTTTTAAACTGAAATGGGAGTCCAGTGAAGTGTTACCTAGTTCAATCATTGTGTGTATTTTCTGGTATTTTCCAACTATTAGACAGGACTTTCTCACTGAGTAGGTAAAGTCGGTTTAATTTTTACAAAGAAAATACTTTGATATTATGTCCCTGGACCGTCATATCTAGACTGAGTCTATTTTGTAGTTAAACCTCTAATTGCAGAGACCTGAATTTGGAAACGGCAGTTATGGATCCAGCCATTGGATGGAATAACTACGGTATCTTTTCCTTTATGCCACAGTAGCCCTCTTTGGCTGATCTCATCTCACAGAAATCTGTAACATATTTCACTGCAGTTTTTTCGATGACAGTACAGTATCATGAAACATTTGCAGATGTTACGTACTTAACATAGTGTCTCCTCTGCCATTTTCCATTTGCAGAAGAACATAATGGGGGAATGGAGTGAATTTCTTTTAACTTATGGGTATTATAGTAAAAACTAACTTTCTTCCATAAATGTCATCAACAGCATTTTCTGCTGGATTAAACTGAAAATATTTTCGCATCTTGCCCTCACCATTGTGTGTGTGTTTTTGTGTTTTGTTGTTGTGTTTTTACATGGCCGATTTTCAACTCTTATCTACTTAAACCAATTGTAATAGTTTCTTGCAGGAGCAACTGTTCTTAAAACATGTAAGGACATCAATGTCAGTGATATAAATAAATAAAGATCAATTTTATTCATATTTAATTGAGATCTAACAGACCAAGTTTAAAGACACATATTAAATCTAATCTCTAACTACAAAAGCAATGCATGTAATACATTATGACTTGTGTGGGTTTCTCTGGGTAACTTCTGCAGCACAAACAGTTTGTGGCTTGTGCATGTCCCGCATGAGATGAGCATGTTGTGTAATTAGACCTGTGAATATTTTTTTAGTTTTTACCCCAGTTCGAGCATGAGGTGGTGAATATATTTTCTCCCCTTGACACACACATTTGTTTCTAGAGTCTTTATGACTCATTGTGATGGGAAGAACTGTTCTATTACCCCTAAATGCCTTCTTCTATCTTATTTTTGCTCATTATTTCCATAAAGTTATTGAGCTAATTACGACACCAACTTATATTGGCAACATGCATTAACTTTCATTCTAAATGGTATCTTTTAAAATTTTAATCTACCTTCGTTGTTGAACTAAAGGAAAACAAGATGTTTTTTTCAAATATTTGGTGCAATATTACTATATTCCATTTGAGGAATTATTTTACCTTATCCTTTAAGCCTGGCATATGCCCACTAATGGCATATAGAGTCCCCATTCGTAAAGAAGAGTGAACAGACCTGCAGTGTGCTGTGCTAATCTGTCAGCAGGTGCCCTTGAAGCGTGGGTTAGAGAGGCTGATTCTTCTGGGAGCGAGGCTGGTCGACAGGATATTGAAGAAGATATCAGTCCAACCAATGATACACCCTCCAACGTGAAGACAGCAGATGGCTCAAACAATGTTCACTTTTTAGTTGGAGGTGAAAGGTGAGTTGTGGTATTTTCTCTCTGGATGATATTTTGAATGTCTTAGAATAGTTACCCAGTTCATGTAATGGAAAAGAAACTTAAACTCTACTCTCTTTCTGCATGCTGCTCTAGTCGTACTTTCATTAAGGATCACAAACATATCAGTCGCAACTTTTCAGTTATCAAAGGTTTGTATTTAGGTCTTCCACTGTTTTTAACAACAAATCTTAGTGAAAATTCAGATGTTAAATATTCTATAGCAAAGGCTTTTACAATGAACTATATGTATTTTTTGTATCTCATTAATTTACTAGTCCCTGAAACAGGTGTGCTTGGTGGCTTATAGCATGTTTTCCTAACACTTTCTAAGGAAGGCTAGTCGTGCTCAACTTTTCATTCTCCTGCATGCTACCTATTACAGCGCTTGGCCGGACATGCAGCAGAAGGCGCCACAGCACCCGCTGAGGCAAGATCGCAAGGATATTGGACCAAGCATGATCCGTTCACAGTCTCAAGATGCTGACATCTCACTTGCGGGTGCAGAGGTAAGTAACACAAACCATCAAAAAATCAAGTTTAATCTAAATGGAAATATTATCTTATTTTTCTGTTCTAGATAAGTCCGCAAAAGATTTTCCATTCAGAAACTTCATTGCAGTTCAGAAGTACAGTTGCTCCAACACGACGTTTGATAAGAGAAGCCTCAAAAGATTCACATGCCTCCTCACATGGATCATCTCAAGGATCCTCTCATGGGTCTTCATCAACGCCTCCCCAAGGGAACACTGAACAACGCCTGGTTGATGAAGAAGCTTGCTCCACCGACTCAAATCCAGCTCTTACAGATGATGACATTAGTCGACGAAAGAAGAAGCACAAACTACATTTTCCCTCTCTGACAAGGCGCTTGCCCAAGGGAAAAACAACTGTAATTGAATGACCATTGTTTCAGGGGTATTTTGGTTGTATTTCTTGCCTAGTATTCATTGAGATTCACTGTGAAGAACAGTGAAATGGAGATTATTTCAGACTGGGAAAATGGCTCTAGTAAATCAGCTCCTTCTATTGTAACATCATTTGTTACGCCCTTACTAGTTAAGGCCTATCTAAATTCCTGGATCAAAACATGTCAAATTTTTAAGATTTGTCAAGCCTCGTTATTTTTAAAATCATCTGACTGCCACTGTCTACTCAGCACATCAAGTAATATGTTACTGTTACTCACATATTGATGAGAATTATTGGCTCTTGGACTGTTCTAGAATTTAGCTCTCTAGTAAAAATTGACTCAGATATGTGGCATATTCTCTTAAAATTAATACTTACGTGCAATATATTAACTTCCAATGAGTTCCTATCTCTTATCATAGGATTTAATTAAAAGGGGCTCTTGTACTTTTGTTTTTTGATTGGTGAGATTTTGATATATTTGTTGACTTAATATTAAATTCATAGCTTGAAAATATTGGATAACTACAATGTTGTCTCATTGAGAGTAGGAGTTTGTTCCTTAACTTCTATTGATATTTTTCCTATGTGTAGATTTTGTATCGTCGTTTTGATAATTACCATTATGTTCATGATCATTGTGGCACTGATTTTTGGTGATGATTGCAGGATTACTACAGTTTGTATACTGTTGTCCCTCCTTTTGTTTACATTTCTAATTAATATTTTAAATTCATTTTGTTAGTTTCATTAGTTCATCTTCACTCCAAATTTCTATACCAATGGCCTATGGGTGCTTCAGCGACTGTTTCTATGTGAAATATCAATAATAGTATAATGTGTGATAAGGACTTTGTAAAGACTTTTGTATTTTGTTAATAGATAAATCTTTGTCATTTGTGCTGTTACATATGTTGAGATTTATGGAGATAGTAGATCTGAATGCCAGGAAGAATGGGTATTCTTTGCATTTGATTAGTACAAGTTATTGGCACACTGTAATATTACTGAACATCTGTTTTCAAATAGAAACATATTATTAACAAAGGCATCTCACTGTTTGCAATCACCACAATAGTCGCCAGTTATATTTATTGTGTTTTGTTAGGAATCACCTTGTATTAGCTGCAAATAATCGGCTCATACACAAGGAGCACATATGCACATGTGTGAATCATCTTTAGATTCTAGATATGTTTTCCCCTCTCTCTCTCTCACACTAGAGAAGTTTTTTTGCTGTTATCTATGTTGGATGTTGTTATATGAAGATTAGTTGTGGACATATACATATTGGATTTGCCATCTAGGCCAATCCAATAAATGTGTTAGTGTTTTTGACAGGTAAACTTTTTGACTTTATAACGGTTCTAGCAAAAGGCACCACATGGTATTAAATTTATGTCTAATTTTCCTTCATGACATGATTAATATTTGTTGACGTCAGAAGATAATTGTGACAACAATGTGATAAACTTGTTTAATTTTATTACTTGTCCATACTAATACAGAATGTATTTGTTCTTACTTCACAGAAGATTTTATTCATTTTCTTAATATCTGTTCCTATGGCTCTTAACAAAGTTTTGTTTTAAATCTAAATTTGATCAATGCAGGCAGAAGTTTATTGTTTAGCTGTTGACAGTTTGGGTATTATCAAGTCATGGTATTGTGAGGGAAACATCTGGAGGGTCCCCTGTCTA